ACCCACACACACACACACACACACACACTCACTCACTCACTCACACACACTCACACTCACACACACCACACACACACACTCGTCATGACAGCGCAGGAATTCAAAACATTCATGCATCACAGCACACGTAGACATGATTGATCTGAATCTTAAAGAGACAGTTCAGATAAAGCATGATCGTTCTGTCATCATTTACTCGCCCACATGTCGTTTCAAACCTATTTTGACTTTCTTTCTTCTGCGGAAGATATTTAGCCATATGTTCATGCTACTCTTGTACATATAGTGAAAGTGAGCAGTGAGCAGAGGCTCTCCAATTCCAAAAAGGTAAAAAAACTTATGATAAAAGTTGTCCAAAACCACTCGTGTGTTACATTTCTGTTGTTCTGAAGTAATGTGATGTGAGAACTTTAGCAAAAGATTTTCACAAAATAATCACACTTAAGGTTTTACATTTGCTCTGCAAACTTTTGTTGGCAAAATCCAGTCATTTCAATAGGAATCCACACGTTTGCGGCTTTTTCATCGCACATTGGTCACGTGAATTTGCTGCGTTGACTGACAGAAAACTGCTTGGTTTGAAAGTGACTTCTGTGTGAGCTGTGCTTCATGCATCGCTACACTATTGACAATGGACCGTTTTGCCGTAAAATTACATTTTTGCATTCCGATGCACTGCTATTCCATGCACAGCGTGTTTTGTTTTGGACCATTGTGCTTGCATTTCAAGTTCATTTAAAAAAAAATGCTCTGGAACTTAATCTAGAACGTATGTTTTGGTGCTGCTTTCCATTGTTTTCTGTGTGCTAAATGGACATCTTTCGCAGCATCTTGCGCATACTAAAAATGCAGTGCTCAAATGAAAAGAACGGTTTAGAAACACATCTCCAAACCCTGCGTTTTTTTTATTCCACTGTCTTGCATCTCGCATTTGTAAACGCAAAAATGCATTCTTTTTAGAATCTAGTGGACCATTCTTCAGACGACTGTTGCGATCTGATGAGCTTTCTGATGCTTCAAAGACAATTAATATTCAGTCAAATTGATCAGTTTTGCTAAACTTGAAACTATCAAATGAAGTCACTGAGTAATTTAACTTAACAACGCTACATTATTTTGAAAATGCAATTAGAACTAAAATGATTAATTCCTGAATTTGAAGAATGTTGTGACACTGACACTGCTTTTTTACTGTGAAGCTGCTTTGAAACGATTTTTATTGTATAAAGCACAACTTTTTGTGGTACTTTTTTGCAGTTCAGCAACTTTTGAGTGAAAAAGTGCAGCGTGACCATTCGGATAAACATCTCCTTTTGTGTTCCACTGAAGACAGAAAGTGTGAAACAACATGTTTTAAGTTATAATTCCATTTGAAACTCAATGTTGGCCTCCTTTATAAAGTGCCGTGATGGTATCAGACGGTAGAAACATGGTGGTTTTTGCCCTAGCGGAGGCTCAGATCACTTTAAGACCACGAGACAGGGATCACATACTGAGAGTTTGAGTTTGTTCTGGATGCTGGTGAAGATTCAGATCAGATTGCAGGAGATTCTGACCTGCCAAATCCACCAGCATTGTGATGTAATTGTTTAACTCCAGCGGGTCATAACAGGGCGATTCATCCGTTAATCACCATATGAGATCCGTCAGCGGGACATCAGACACAGAGACGCTCGAGAAACCGTGAGTCTGACTCGGATCTCCTCTTGAACTCTGCAGAAGTGTTTGTTTGACTTCATTAGCTCTGTTTAATTGGTCTCATTAAGTTCGGCTTTGCTTGTTCTTGAAGTTTAAGTTGAGAAGTAGTTTTAATGTCACGTAACTAAAAGAGACTATTTCTGTCTGTCTCTCTTTCTGTTTCTCTTTGAAATGTAACATTGGATCCGTTGGTAGTGTTTTTTTTTATGAAAGCAGGGCTTTTGGTTTCTTGTGGACGTGCTGTTTAAACTGCGTCTGTTCGCTTTGGGATAAAACAGGAGGCTTTTAAGACGCATGCTTTATTAGAGTCAGGTGGTATCAGACTCTGTCTGTCTCTCTGCCTGTCTCTCTCTCTCTGGTGTTCTGGACCGAGTGAACTACATTGTTCTTGTGCCTCGTTCTGTGATTGTGAGCCAGTTCTGGCCATGTGAAGAGTTGATTACTCTCCATCAGTGCGAAACCGGCCAGAGCGAGTCCAGAACATTCAGCAGAGACTGAGACTCTAATAAAACAAGATAAATGAGGTTTAGAAAAGCAGCAGAGGCATTCTTCTGAACTCTGATGTCGGATTATTCGCAGCGTTAACGATGTGTTTTCAGGTTTGGCGATGTGGCTGCGTGTTCTGCTGGCGTGTTTGCTGCTTGAGTTCTGCGGCGCGGCTCCACACGCTCACATCAACCGCCTCGCGCTCTTCCCCGACAAAAGCGCCTGGTGTGAGGCCAAAAACATCACGCAGATCGTCGGACACACGGGCTGCACGCCACGATCCATCCAAAACAGGTCACACACACACACACACACTGTTGTCCAGTTTAGGGAATTCTTGAATGTCTCTCTGTGTTCGTTTGACCAAAATAAACATTCAGCTATTAAATATTGCCATACTTGAGCAGTGCAGCAATTATCATGTGTGTTGTGGGCTTTGTAGATGGTTCTAACAGTGTTGTGTTTTCAGGGCCTGTCTGGGTCAGTGTTTCAGCTACAGTGTGCCCAACACCTTCCCACAATCCACCGAGTCTCTGGTCCATTGTGACTCCTGCATGCCGGCGCAGACGCAGTGGGAGGTGGTGAGTGTGTCACCATTAAACTCGCTGTGTGAACTACAAACACTTTTATGAGCCAGACTTTAAAATGTTCACGCCAAAACGACATGTTCCTTTGGACGGCATGCAGTATATTGCAATAGTGAAAGTGGATATATTGTGTCCAAACTGCCGTGCTTGAGCTGCAGTAGTGAAAACTGTAGGAATATTATGAATACATTATAATATTTGTGCTGCAGTAGTGAAAACTGCAGAAACACGCGTGAAAATTAAAGAAAGACTGCATCAAAATTGTCATATTTGTGCTACAATAGTGAACATTGCATAAGTGCTGCATCTAAATAGTCACTTTGGCTGGAATCGTGAAAATGGCAAACAGGAAATATTGCGAGTAAATTATCATATTTGTGCTGCAGTAGTGAAAATAGTGAACTGCAGAAATATTAAGAGTAAATGGTAACATTTCTGCGGCAGTAGTGAAAACTGCAGAAATACTGAGTCAGAAATGTAACTCTTGCCGCAGTAGTGAAAAATGGCAAACTGCAGAAATACTGCGAGTAAATTATAGCATTTGTGCTGCAATAGTGAAAATTGCAGAAACACCGCGTCTAATTTGGCTTTTTTGTTGCAATAGTGAAAATGACACACTACAGAAACATTGCACGTAAAAGATAACATTTGTGCAGCAGTAGTGAAAACTGCAGAAATACTGAGTCCAAATTATCACATTTGTGATGCAATAATAAAAACAAAAATGCTTCATCCAAATTGACACTTTTGATGCAATAGTGAAAATGGTAAACTTCATTAATATTGCGACTAAATTACCATATTTGTGCTGCAATAGTGAAAACAGTAGAAATACTGCATCCAAATTGCCACTTTAGTTGTAGTATTGAAAACTGCAACTTGAAAATAGCAAACGTCATAAATATTCCCATCATATTCGTGCTTCAGTAATGAGTACTCCAAAAGTACTGTGTCCAAGTTGTCATATTTGTGCTGCAGTAGTGAAAACAGCAGAAACATTGCGTGCAAATTGACATATGCACTGCGGTAATACTGTGATTCAAGCGAGTTCTCTGGCGTGACGGTGAATTCTCAAAACATGTCGATGTGCATTTGAGAACGCGTCCCGTGCAGCTACTCTTTCAGCTGGAGTGATAAATGCGTCCTGCCGCATGCCGCGTGTCTTGTCGTGTGGTGTGCTGCAAGCAAACCGCAATACCTATTTAACATCCAGCACAATGATTGATGGACTCGCAGTGAAGCTTGAGTGACTCTTTATGAGGCATGTTGAAAGACAACAAACACACTCATCTGTCTTGTGCAGAGAACACGGCGTGTTTTAACTGTCACGCGTGAGTGTGTGTTGATTTTGTGTATTTACAGTATTTCGCGGTGGGCTTTAGTTCTGGCTGCTCAGCTGCCCTCTAGCGTTGGAGTTTATTTTGCTTTGCCTGGCAGAAGACGGGAATGTTTGACCACCAGCGATTTCGCCAGAGGAACACGGGAAGTGTGTGCGAGATATCAACATATGAAAATAATCACTTTGTTTGCCCTCTTTCTCACCCATTGAGCTCTGGGAATCATTGTATTGATGCTAACTAAACGTTGTGACGCACAAAGATTGTTGAGGTTCAGTTCGACTTGAAAAGGTTTTGCTATATTTACGCAGAAACATCATGTTCTGTTTGCGAGACCTCTCCTAGCGTTATCCGCTGACTCAAAGGGGCCGCTCTCTGCTACTTATTATGTTCTTTCATACAATCTGGCTTTAATAGAAAGCAGTTCACGTTTGGTAAATAAAACAGACTCGGGCTTGTGTTGACAAAGACCTGCAGTAATGTGACAGCAACCTGATCTGACCCGCATTACCGACACTCACTTACTTTAGACTAACGTTACACAGCATCCTAACCAGACGCCGTGCGGGTTTCCAGCGTAATTTCAGGAAAAACAAAATCACAGCCAATCAGAGCATGTTTGGCTTTAATGTTAGACTACTGAGATTTCCCCCTTAAAAGAGTTCAGGGTACTTTCACAGCAACAAAGCAACCGAATGTCATTTTTTCCGTGAGAGTTGGTGATTTTGAGGTGTGTTGTTGGTTTATACTGAGTTTTACCCACAGTCAATGTTTAGCCATTTAGCATAGTCCAGTTAACGACATCATTATTCAGGCAAAAAGTGTTTCTCTATTGACGGACAGTCGGACACTTAAAAGTAGGCTCAAAAGTGTATACTGACAACTTTTTTGCAAGCAGCACATTAACATAAAAGGACTCTTAACTTTGTGAAATAGACATGTTTTTCTCCTCATTTGCATTTAATTTACATATATTCATTTGGCGGATGCTTTTATCCAAAGTGACTTACAAATAAGGAACATCACAAGCATTTTGCCACAGTATTTGCAGCAAGGTTTCAAGAAGCATTACGGCCCAGGTATGACCTCTTTGGTTGCATCGCACCGCTGCGCTTTTGCACAATGCATCGCTGCTGCAGCAACACTCGCTGAAGCTCATGTTTCCCTCAAATCTCCAACTTTCACCAACATGAATGTCGTCTGGTTGCTGTGTTGCCGAAAACTGTTGCCTTTAATGTGGAAAAGATTGTTGCATTATTGCGTCGCAGCATGTTAGTGAAAAGAAGCTGCGTTTCTATAATAGATTTGCGCAAAACTTTTGTGATATTTTATAAATGTCGATTAAAAACTATTGCGAAATGACGGCGTTTCCATGAACCAATGTTATGCGACTGAAACTAAAAATTTTTCTCTCACGATAAGTAGGGATGCAACGATTAACCGCGAGCCGGTTGAAAATCGATTTAAATATGTGACGATTCAAATCAGTTGAGATGCTAAACAAATCGCGATTCAATTAGGGGTAGGAGTTTATATGAATCCATGTCTGAGAACAGAAGCTGCGTTTCTATAATAGATTTGCGCAAAACTTTTGTGATATTTTATAAATGTCGATTAAAAACTATTGCGAAATGACGGCGTTTCCATGAACCAATGTTATGCGACTGAAACTAAAAATTTTTCTCTCACGATAAGTAGGGATGCAACCAAGGAAACACTGTATCATTTCTGTTCATAAGCACAGCTCTGCTTTGTTTACAGAGGTAACCAAGGAAACACTGTATCATTGCTGTTCATAAGTGCAGCTGCTTTGTTTACAGCGGTAACCAAGGAAACACTGTATCATTGCTGTTTATAAGTGCAGCTCTGCTTTGTTTACAGCGGTAACCAAGGAAACACTGTATCATTGCTGTTCATAAGTGCAGCTGCTTTGTTTACAGCGGTAACCAAGAAAAC